GGGAGGGAGCTGGAACCAGTTCTAAACGGCACTGTAGATTTGTAGAACCTCTTCTATAGAAGAGGTTGGAACTGGCACGAACCCACCCGATTTACACCCTGGTCAGTATTTCTTTGCACTTCTACATCAGGCAGAAGACATCAAAGTATAGCCAGCCGAACAAATAGGTTTAAAGATAGTTTCTATCCTCGGGCTGTCAGACTTTTAAATACAACCAGAATCACTCCACGCACACGCTAGTTTTTTCTTTTTCTTTCTTTTTTCCTTTCTGCTATAATTTTGCACCAGTGAGGCTAAAACCGATTTCGCTGTATTTATTTTGTACAATGACAATAAAGACTATACTATACATCTCTGACTCTAAAAAGGGTTTCTGGAAACCAAGGATTGGAGCATCATTTCCCACATTGTCTATGAACTCAGTGCGACGGGAGGAACATTCAGACCGGAGAACAAACCTCATCCAGAAGTTCCACTGATGCCTTCAGGATCTGCTTCCATTTTTGCACCTCCACGCTATGGAACTGTTTCTGCAGCTCCAAAATCTCTGCCCATTCCGAGGCCGTTTGTGGAAGCTTCCTGCAAGGCAAGAAGGAGAATTCTCTTAACTGCAATGGATCAGCAGTGGTACCCGCTCCCTGAGTTCACTTCCTGTGAATTATCACACCCATCACTAGTGTTTAATGCAGAAGCCAGTTGGCCTTCCCGAACCTAACTCCCCTGATTCTAAGGCTGGGGGAGCAACCTTGCCAGAATTTACATTCTCTTCTCAGTAACCTTTTTGAAATAGCAAGTTAGGACTATATGATTTAGGGCTAAAAACATACTGGAGGGGGTGAGATTTTATAGCACTAGCACTTAGACTTACAGTATATACCACTTCACAGTGCTTTACAGCCCTCTCTAAGCGGTTTACAGAATCAGCCTATTGCCCACAACAATCTAGGTCCTAATTTGGTTCCACCACAAAACCGCGTTCGACTAAAGCGCGCTCGACGAAACCGCGTAGCTGACATCATCACAGTGCGACGAAAAAAGCACGCTGTAAAAGCTAAAGCTAAAATTAACCCCTAAACCTAAACCTAACCCCCCTAAACCTAATCCTAAACCTAAACCTAACCCCTCTAAACCTAATCCTAAACCTAA